ACGGAGTTCCTGAGAAGATCGTCAACATTATACGGAACTCATACGACGCACTACAGTGCAAAGTCATGCATGGAGAACAGCTGACAGATGCATTTCAAGTAAGGACCGGATTCAGACAAGGTTATCTACTCTCTCACTTCATCTTTCTTCTCCTGGTCGACTGGATTATGAAGACCCCGACATCTGAGGTAAAACACAAAATACAATGAATAACTCACAACCAGTCAGACAGTTTGGACTTCACAGATCACCTAGCCCTCCTATCACATACACACGAACAAATGAAGATAAAGAGAGCCAATGTAGCAGCAGTCTTTGCATCAGTAGACCTCAACATACACAAGGGGAAAACCAACATTCTCAAATACAACACAGAGAACAGCAATCCAATCACACTTGATGGCGAAACTCTTGAGGATGTAGAATTCTTCACTTACCTGGGAAGCATCATCGATGAACAAGGAGGATATCAGATGTAGACGTAAATGTGAGGATTGGCAAAACAATGGCCGCATTCCTACAATTGAAGAAAATGTTGGACTCAAAACAACTTTCAACCAATATCAAAGTGAGAATCTTCAATACGAATGTCAAGACAGTCAGTTGTGCTGAACGGAGCTGAAACATGGAGAACTACTTCAACCACCATCAAAAAGGTAAGGTACAAGTATTTATAAATAGTTGTCTATGCAAGATACTCAACATCCATTGGCCTGACACCATCAGCAACAGAGTTCTGTGGGAGAGAACAAACCAGCTTTTAGGTGAAGAGGGAATTAGCAAAAGACGATGGAGTTGATGGATAGGACATACATTACGCAAATCATCAAACTGCATCATGAGGCAAGCCCTAACTCGGAATCCTGAAGGGAAGCGTAAAAGTAGATGGCCAAAGAACACATTACATCGGTAAATAGATTCAGATATGAAAAGAATGAATAAGAACTCAAGAGCTGGAAGGCATTACCTAGTACATGGTTGGATGGAGAATGCTGGTGAGAGACCTATGCTCCTTCACAAGGAGTAACGGCCGCAAGTAAGTAAGTATGATCCTTACAGTAAACAGAAAGTGAATCGTATTTTGTCTGAATGATTTCGTTTTAATACATATTAGAAAACGTTCACTTCGTATGTTCTTTTCTGTAATAAATGTATACTATATACAACTGGTATTACCGTATTTGTTTGAGGAAAGAACTTTAAATTTACAGCTTCACAGTTTATATATTACCTCTTTCAAATGTAAGAAAAATACTATGCTAATAATCATGTCCTCACTAATGACTAGCTTAGAGAGGGAATTTTCAATGTTCTAGTGACCACTTATGACCAGTAAAGAACAACCGTGTCGAATGTGAGGCAATTATGGTCGCGAGATATCGTGGATTGCTTGAAGTTAGACATTAATACTGTTGGATGCCAGCCCAATAGTCCAATGGTGACACGTTTGTGCGTGAGGCCGAAAGTACTAGATTTGTGTCCGGCGTTATAGATCTGCACTGTTGAGGAGTTCTATACTAGGACTATACGGCCTTCTAGTGCTTCCAGGTTTAACATTAACTGATTAGTCAGCGATCTCCACAACCCTGTACTGGAAATTTATTTAGTTTCCATAAATACTAATACTATTAGGTATATTCCAGTTGAATATCGTGTATTATTGATAATTACCTTTGTGACTAATAAATCACTAACGATACAGTTGACCATCAAATTCATTTTTATTATCAATTGTTACATTCTTATTTCTAGATTTTTACATATTTTTGTTTACAAAAAATCCGCTTATACCAAACCCAAATAGAATCGGTTTTTTAGGACTTTTCTCATAGTTTTAACAAAAAGCTGTTTGGTATATATACACACAAAAATAATGGTTTATATCTTTTTCCTTCAAGTTTCCACTTTAACGTTTATTTATAGCCGTTAATGTAAAAGTTCATTTTACACTATTCTTGAACTTTAAAATTAAAATTCTAATTACTTACTTACTTACTTACTTACGCCTGTTACTCCCAATGGAGCATAGGTTGCAGACCATCATTCTCCAACCCACTCTGTCCTCGGCCTTCTTTTTTCCCATTCAGTTCTTGTTCATTTTTCTCATGTTTATTTCCATTTCCCGGCGTAATGTGTTCTTTGGTCTTACTCTTTTCCTTTAACCTTGAGGATTCCATATTAGGGCTTGTCTTGTGACGCAGTTGGGTGCTTTCCTCAATGTGTGTCCTATCCACTTCCAGTGCTTCTTTCTGATTTCTTCCTCCGCTGGGATCTGGTTTGTTCTCTCCCACAGTAGGTTGTTGCTAATAGTGTCCGGCCAATGGATCCGAAGTATTTTGCGTAGACAACTGTTAATAAACACCTGTATCTTCCGGATGATGGCTTCCGTGGTTCTCCAGGTTTCCACCCCATACAGTAGAACTGTCTTGACATTTGTATTGAAAATCCTGACCTTGGTGTTGGTTGACAGTTGCTTTGAGTTAAAATTTTAATTACTTTTGTTTATAATAACTGCATCATACAATGATATAGTATATAGAATATATTAACATTTCTCAAAGATAATCTTATATCGATTCGTTCACAAGAAAACAGCTGTTACTTGCTTAGAAATAATATGTCTATTCTATTGTGATAGTTAAACAGATTTCAATTTTTCATACTTGATAATAATCCTTAATCATCAATTGTTTCCTTTTTTTAAAAATTTATTTTGCAGTTTTAATATTCTTCGAGTAGATTATTACCTCTTATATTTTTCATCTATATAGCAAATTCATTTCATTATTTTGTATAATCTATTATATAATCATATATCTACTTCATTTAATACTTCATAGTTAATTACTCAGCGGTTATCTATATTAAATAAACATAAATATGAATATGCAGCTCTAATAAATAACTTAAATAAATAATATATTTGTAATATCCTAGTAAGTAGAAAAATTAGATTTTCTAAAGTTTTGTGACTTGGTGTAAGCCACTTCTTCAGAGAATAAATAAATAGCTAGATCATAATTAATCCAAGTTTAAATAGTACAAAGGAACAACGCAGGAATATTGTATATATATATCCGATAAATAACGTTATTAAAGAGGAAATATTTTGATTGGCTAATTTCTAAATTTGAAGTTTATTTTGTGTAATAATAATAATTTCGTAAGTTTAATATTGAAGTGAACTAGTTTCGTAGAACTTGATAACAAACAAAGGTAGGTGATGTTGTATTTTCATTACAAATGCTTAAATAACTAATGTAGTTTAGTTAATATTTTAGTTTGAAATTTCCCTAATTTTACCATTTAAAAAAAAGATCACTGTTTCTATTCGACATAATCGATTATAGTACTTACATAAAATATTCCTATTCTAAGGGATTAAAAATAAAGTTTGGAAATGAAATTTTAAAAAAAAACTGAAGACAAGCATTAACAAAAACTTCCCTGGAAGTAAAACTAAATCGATCAATATTTAAGAGGCGGTTAGTCAGACAGTTAATTACAAATTATATTCGAGTATTTCCTTTTCTTCATATTTGTAAAATAACAATAACAAAGTAAATATCAATCACGTAATGTAAGTGGGTTTGAAAGTGTATTAAAGAGAGAGGTATTATATGTGTGCAGTCATAGAAACAGATGCATACACCTACATACATACATTCATTTAAGTAATCAGGATTTATTTGCTTACCTATTTGCTAATTTCAATGTTTATAAAAAGGCTTTTCATTTATCTTGCCTATACATATTAGAAACCGATTAATAGCACGAAAAATAATAGAATAATGTCAGTAGGGTTTATAATCAATAATTCATAGTTATGAAATCTTAATTCTGACTGTTTATTAAACATAAATTCATTCTTTTTTCACTTGCTATTATTATACTAAGATTTTTTAGAAGTATTCTTATTATTTTAGGCTAGTTAATTACTTATATTAACTAATTATGCGATATTACAATATGGTTGGGCTGTGAAATATACTAATTTGGAAACCAGTTGGAAAAAAATAAGATATTTTAAGTTGCCTAACTGAACTGAACTAACAAATGTTACCTAAAAATACGGTTCAGTCAAATTATCAATAAATTCATGGATAAACGTTACGCTTTAGTTTGGTCGCCTCTAGCTTACTCCAGTCAACTACTTCTAAATCAGGCGAAGTCACCCATCGAAGTAGATGGTGGTTGGGCTTATGTACCACATATCTCAATCAGTTCAATCAACAACGACTCACTATCTTATTAACGGAGTTACATTTCTCGACTAGCTTTTCGTTTCCCTCTTCAGCATTGCTTACTCAGTCGTCCTAACCTAGGAGACTTATGCTTTAAAAACATCTACGATCATACACTGGTAACCTATGAATATCTTAAATTCTTAATGGGTGTGTTTCACAGTACGAACTGCCGAAAGAATGTTTTTCCTTTGATCCGAAAACAGGCATCTCCTACGTTGCAAGAGATATGAACTAGTAAAAGACAAACTAGCATTCTGAATTCGTGCGAGGATTTATTTAGACGCAAACCTATCAGTGTTTATGAGACGTTTATGAAAAATGAAGTGATCGGTGCGCCCTATTATTTCACTCCTTACCACTGATTCATGTGTCAACATAGACCAGCCAGCAATATTTTGGATTTAGAGGAAAAATATCGTAATTTAAACACATCGGCGTTATTACTCAAGGTGATCTGAAGACTCTGCATTTTATCTGTATCGTCACCAAACACCATTATGTCATCTGCATAGTCCAAGTCATCAAGCTAATCTCCGAGCAAGAGACCGATTTCTTGGAAGCTAGACTACGACAGCTCTTTCTCTAAATGAGTATTTACAGCAAACGTGAACGAAAATGGGGTGTACAATTGTAACTACTTCCAAAGTTCGAAATACGATATTATCACGATTTTACTATGGATGAACTAATAATAAGTGTAACTTTACGCAACAAGAGCATGACATTTTTCGTATAAAAATTCATTATACTTACCTAATTACTCCTTTTGCTGTTTAAATGATGATAATGATACTGGACGATCGGAATTCACAGAAGCATTACTTGAATGTATATCAGTCAGATTCTCAGTATTCGATTTTACAAGTTTTGAGGGAGAATTTTTAAGTGGATTATCGCATTGTTTTATCAAATCTGGAGAAACATTGCGATATAATTCATGGGGAAATGAATATGAAAGTCTGGGACTTAATTTTGCATAACTAATATGACTTTTATACAAACTCTTATCAGTAGGAAACGATAATTTTGGACAGTTTTGAGAGTGGGTGATTATTTTTTTATTATAATTATTGGTGGTATTATTCGACGAACTGTTCTGATGTGATGTAGATGTGATTGAAATATGTGACTGTGCACTAGCAAACTCGGTTAGATTTTCATCTTCCAACGACGAACACATTGGGTTGGATTGTACAAATGATGACTGAGATGAAACATTTGCTTTTGTATTGAAACTTGTACAAAATATCACAGAGTCCGGATAAACCGCAGCACTGAAGGACGATTTAGGTACGGCAGCTGTATTAACTAGATTATGCTCATTAGACCAACTATCAATGTCAAACGGATTAAGTGACTTCCCATAATTATTGGATGACTTATCAGTAAAATTAAAGTTGGATTTGGATTGAAAAGAATTTGATGGAAATCTAAAAGATGGCCAAGTGGGGCTTGATGCGAAACCTGGATCCCTTGTGAGAAAAGTTTTTTCGTTTAACAAATCGTTCAAGCCAAGTTCATCACTATAAGTGAACCTTGAATTATCTAACAACGGTTTTGTTTCACTATAGGAAGGATAGATTGAGTTATCTACGGTAGAATTATCATTATGAGAATGCGCATCTATGTCCATTATGTCAGCTTTGTCTGGTATTTGTGAAGAACTTACGACTTTCATATTCACTATTTTTTTATTGTTATGATTATCATCAGTTTCAGATTTTGTGGAACAGTTTATTTTTTTATAAAAATTATGATAACCGTGGTTATGTTTGAATTTATGAAGATTCAATTTTCGTTTAGAAAATGTCGTTAAATGGATTGCTGAACACCGACGATCTGATGGATGCTGACTCCGTGAGCCATGTAGACGGAAGACTTGCAAATGACGAAAAGGATTAGACTCACGACGATGAACGGCAGATTGGCTTTCAGTTAGTTTATCAACATTTGACATATGGTCACTACTTCCAACCCCAGCATTATTATTTTCGGTATTATTACAGTCCTTAAGATTACTTGTAGATCTTCTATTTTCATACAAATCTTTTGATATAGACTGTCTTACCCTCAATAAACGGGAGATTTTTGAAATAGATTCACTTGTTAGACGTCTATGATGCTTAAAGTTTCCATGTTCCAGTGCACTAATTAAAGGATTATTAACATGTAAATGACTGTTTGATTCTCTTTGTTCATTGATTGTTGCTCTCGCCTGTTAATTCATGTAACAAAAAAAGATTGAAAAAGTATTGTCAATTTAAAAAATATTTGAACGTAAAGCGCATTCCATAAAGGGTTCAGAAACCACCAGGTACATTATTAGTATATATTAATCTTGAAATAAATGTCAAAACAAAGGAATATAGTTAGTTCTATTGATGACTATACAAACAACACAAATAACTAAATTCATTTTCGAAAAAAATATTCAGTTACGCATGTTTTATTGTTTCTGTACATATAGGAAACATGAAGTTATTAAAAACATGATACAGAAAATCAAATCATATTGCGTATACAATTTAAAGTGACTTAAAATTTCAGCATTATATGATTTTTTTGTTTAAAGAAAATACTTATTACCATCTGATTTGTATACTCCTCTCTTTTTTTCAGAATATAGACAAATGTATCCTAATAACAACTAAATTTTCAAACAGTTTTATGTTGATTAGCTTTTACTATAATAAATATACATTTATGTTATCACCTCGCTTAATGAGTAACTTTTGGGATAATTAACAGGTAAAATGGATTGAATCGTCAAAAACGAAATAAGGTAAGTTAGGGAGAAAAACTGAATCCATAGATTGAAAGTTTTCTTATATTCGATTACGTCATGTTTTCCATGCATACTAAACTTTGATCCCGGTCTACTGGATTCGACGGACGTAATTTTAAATGTTTAGTTTGTTTGTTTTTTTCCTATAACTTATTTTTACGTATTTCACTTGTAATTATCACTAACATAACATATTTCGTTGGCATTGCTATTACATAATTTTCAACCAAAATAAACAAGCAAGTACTGTTTTTATTTTCTTAGTCTGTTTAATTATTTATTTAACCATGACGTTTGATTAGTAACATGTTATATTAGTTGGTATTGGATGAACATACATAGATCAATTTATATTGATCAAGGTCATACGAAATCATTAGAATAGTGTGCTGAAGAAGTATCAGATTTTTAATGTATTATTTGTTTCATATACATTGACTGCGAAAGTTCTAATGGATAAACAAAACGAGAAATACTGTTTACCAACCATAAGATAGAAATTTAATAACTGGAGACAGTTACATCAGACAGCTGATGAATTAACGCAACGTAGCATAGTATTGAATATTATAATATTATAATAATATTCAATACCAATAAATGAATTAACAAAATGGTCATTTTTTGTTATAATATATGAACGGTCTATGCCTATATATTCTAAGGCTGAATGAATATTTAGTTACGTAGCTTAAATGTGTACCTATCTTCTTTACTGTAATATATGCATGATAAGAGATTCCTGGTTTATCATTGGAAGGTCTTATACAAGAAATATGTTTCTCACAACTAGCCTACCACATTTTTGCTCATTATTTGTTTTCAATAAGGGATTAATAGTTAGTAACATACCTTGTGACTATATCAAGATCAAAATATCATACTGTTCACGAATGAACAGGTTACGTGATTTGTGCATATATTTTTTTTAAAACAACATTTTCAACTTAAAATGATATTAGCTGGAAAATTACCGAAAAAATAAAAGGCAATGGGCAATAATTTTTAGTATGTGAATAGTTAGAAAGGGTAATCATATCCAGGTACGGAAATTTGTAGACTAATATACTCAAACTGACTGCTTATATAAATCTAATGATTACTATCAATATTTTTCACTTGGAGTTGTATTCTTATTTAGTATAAATTTTCATACACCAGCTTTGACATTTTCATCATCAATGTCATCTCTATTGCAGGAAATGTACATCGAAAACAGTATATTTAAATCAATCGCAATGATATGTGATCTATAAAATCTACATACTGGGTTACGTGAATCAACTAAATTTACATGGCATGAAATAATAATTCAAATTATTCATATGTTCATTTAAAAATTAATCGTTTGTCTGTACTTGAGAACTCAAATTATTTTTTTCGAATATAATTTCACTCTAAACGTTTTTATAACGACCAGTCTCCATGTAGAATGAATATTTCTTAGTCTTTCAAATATGCTGTTATTAATCATTTCAATGAGCAAACATCGAGTTCATTTAAATATTACTGAATAAAATCAAACGAATTTCTTTCAGATTCAGTAACACAATAATTAAAACGAATATATGTTAACTCAAAATTCGAAACTAATCTTCTGATCACTTGTTTCGATGTTCTTTACTACTCAGCACCGATTAAAATAAACTCTGAATGAGTATACAGGGAGGATAGACAAAGGTAACCAAGAAAGAAATTGTCATACTAAAATCATCATGGTAAATACATAAACAAACACCTTTTAATACGAATATTTCAACTTTTTCTTGGAACCAGAAATTAGCTTTCTATTGTACACCCAAAATGGCTAACTCAATAAACTTTATGACCGGATATTCAGTGTTAATTGCAAACAAGCATCTTGATATAATAGTGGCTTTATTTTGTGCATTTGAAAATAAGTAACACTCCATCATTTGGTTAACTGGACGCATGAATAGTTTTCACTTGACTATATCTAACTGGTGAGTTGGATCAATCAAAATTTGTAAGCAGTCATCCATTACTTTAATTTTTATTCTAATATTCCTATATTTACCAAATAATCTGAAATTTCAGTGGTTCAACATCAGTCAACGATGACAGTTATTATTTCGTATTTGTTTACAATTAAATGCACTATAAACTAAATCTGAATAGCTGATACAATATCATTTAATAGCATATTTTAGTTGCATCAATATTTTTTGTAACAATAAGGTAAGAATACTGTCATTAAACCATTAATAAAAATAAGTTCTACGATCAAAACAAGTGATACGCTCCGAGTGCATTTTGTTTTCTTTTAAATGAAACAAACATGAGTACATAACATTTTTTTAAAAGGAACGATGCAATTGGTGTATCTAGGACCTTTCATAAGTGAACTTTGATTTATATAAAGGGCACAAAAACGTTTTTTTTTTAAAGAAGAAATGTGACGGCACATATACATATATAAACTCAGTTATTAATAAAATACTTTGCCAAAAATTTATTACTATTATTATTAGTGAGCTTTTAGTTACAACAAATGTATTTTATTTAAAAAAGCAATATAATAGTAAAGAACTGAAATGTTAATGGTAAACTTTTTTATTAAACTTCATGTAGAAAGAGTTTGAAATATTTTTTTCTACCTCAGTAGATATTCTTATGAAGACACTGATGAAAAAACGTACAACTGAATAGATGTCATTTCCTGTACCCACTATGTAAAAACCATCCGAAAAAATAGTTTAATTTGGCAAAGAATAATCAATAGAGCATAAATAGTTATTCGTCTTATCGCTTAAGTAAGTCAGGTTTCTTAACGTCAGGTTTCAATTACCAACTCTGAATCTGGTCGTAATGTGAAAGAATTATTGAACCCTGTTACTCGTCTACAAATATGGAATAGAGAACTGGGAAATATGAACAAAGAAATACATTAATGGTCAAGATTCTTTGAAATTTAGAAATTGAGAGCTATTACCAGTTTGTAAGCAATTATGTGATTGAATGTTTTGTTTTCCACCACATGAGCCAATCAATCATCTTAAAGAAAAGGGACTCTTCGAATACAAATGTTTGTCAATCTGGATTCACTTAAACAAACTGGCTGAGATAAAAATACTTTTTTCTGCTATTTGGCTACAACGATACGAAATTCCAGTAGATTTGTTATGTATCTTGTTTAATTGGCAACAAAGTTATTTTTCATCAGAACAAGGTTCGTTCATTTATTGTTTTTTAGTAGTATTTTTCCTGAAGTATTAGTTCAAGTTATGGTAATATGATAAATCGTAAGTATTTTATTGGGTCTTACAGGATGCGTGAGGTAAATACTAGCTATACACCGATGAATGGACGTAAAAGGATTATTATCACAAACTAGATTGTTCATAAGCATAGCAGAATTTTCACAGGTTTCTGTTAGGAAGAAAACGTACAGAATTTCAAGAACTTTTAAATATGAGTCTGAACTAGATTGGACTATGTGCTAAAGAAAGAGACAATGCAAATCCATCTGTTTTGTCATGAAAACATCTATCTGTTTTTCGTAAATTTATTAAGTCTCACTTTCAAACTTGTCAATTACTGAATAACAAGAGACCATTAAAATAAATAGCTGGACAAACAAATATACTATGACCAATCATTTATGATTTCAGACGACCCCAAAGTATATCTGAACGTCAACTTTAATTATCAGAAACATTTATTTCCTTTGATCAGTTTAGATAATTCAATATCTTAGTTTATCAGAACCATGTGATATATTAATGTAATATAAATTGGATAAGGTGGTGACTCATCAATGTGTAAAGATATCTGTGAAATTAAGCTCAGCCTGAACAAATTGTTGCATAACAAAAACAAAGATTATAGCATGAGATAATATGAATCAAACCGCTCTGGATATTGTAGTTATATCAATCTAGCCGGGGTAAGTTTACTGTAAGTACGATGTGTTTTTGAATCTATAAAAGAGAGTCTGAATTTTCAAGTGATTAAGGTGTCAAAAAACATAATTAGTTGCATTCAATGATCTACATTTCCAACTTTATTGAATTCATGATATTGTGTAACCATCACACGATAGCATTAGTGATATTTGTCTCACTGCCTAAATGATTGAACTCTATTGGTCACTACTTCTCACAAGAACTAATATTGATGAATCAAGTATATTTTTATTGGAATTATAACTGAATAAATTAATATCATGTAAAATAATAACAATAATCGTTGAAAATAAACAGAAATAAAGGTCAATAGTTTATAATTAGTGTGTAAAGAATTATATAATAAAATAAGAAATCAGAAAATTAAATTATTGATATATGTGACAAAGACCTTGTCGAAATTAATTTACACAATATATCAAATGTCAAAAAAGAAATGATGAAATGAATAAATAAGGAAAATTCTTTTATGTTACAGAATGTTTTTTATATTACACTTATGAT